TGTGTGTGGCCATGAGGCCTTTAAACGTGTAAAATTTCTCTCTCTTATAATTTAATACTTATCACTAAAAAAGGAAGGCTTCTTAGAGAGAGAAAGTGTCGTTATCTAATGGCTATAAATTAACTACCCACTTCCCAGGATTACAAGGCCACGTTTTCTCAAAGATTTCAGAAAGAAGCCGAACGTTGGAAAACGGCTTTCTCCATCCCTCTTTAAGAAGGGTTTCATGGCTATGGAAAGGTACATAGAAATTTATAAAGTTCTCACAGTTCTAGTAAAAGCCTGATCTTTGCGATCGATAGTCTCAAGACATTGTCTCTAATTCTAGGAGTGGGTCCATCTCTTTCCTCAAGTTTTTCAACAATAAAGAGAGGAGTTTGAAAGGTCTCACAAGAGAGTGAAAAACAGAGTTTTAGAGAGAAACCTGGGCAATGTTCAGCGTATCCCAAGAACGAGAATTTCATGCGCAAATCATTGTCTTATCCACAAATACCAAACACCAAGACAAGGAATTTTCTAGAGTGAGAAAATATCTGAGGATGAAGATTTGTCTCTTTGAATGCAAATTCGATCTAGAGAGAGAAAATGTGAACACAAGATGATATAGAGTGATAAAAATCAAGCAAAATGAAAAAAGAGAAACAAATCCAACAAATTAAGAGAGACAAAATCCAGGAAATCAAGAGAGACCAGGTTCACTGTGACAAAAGAGAGAGAAGGGAGAGCGACCGAGATGCAGAGGGCAGAGCTTCTCAACCGGATGATAGAGACAGTAGATCCATAAGCGGTGCAGTCACCAGATCCAATTGATGGCAGAGTTTTGTAGGGTGGCAAGTTTAGATGTGGTTTTAGAATGAAGACAATCAGATATTCAAATCAGGTTTCAGGGGAGAAAGAAGAAGGGGCAGAGCAGGAGAGAAAGAAAGAGGGGCCGAATGAATTTTTATTTTTTTTTAAAGTGGCAGAGAGATAATGGCGGAGATTTTAGAGAGAGAAAGATAGAAACGGAGAGAATACAGAGAGAAAATATGGACACCTTTGATGGCCCTGAATCACGTCTCCAGGCTTTGTAGATCTATTGATATATAAACTTGATATTATTTCTATTGATATATAAACTTGATGTATAGTGGTGAATTTATACATGAAAGTACAGTTAATGGCTTCTATAACTTCACAGTTTCTATAACTGTTCATAGCTAAATCCTTAGTTCTCCACGATTCAATCAAAATTTAAACTGCTTCTTCAATTTGACATTCATTGTACTGTGTTGCTCTACTGTTTTCTTTTATTTGATTTTACTCTTCATACATAGTGGTACAAGTGGTAACAATGATGAGTACTTGAAATCCCAATTCTTCTGCGAAAACATAACCAAAGAAAAGGATTGGTTATATAAGCAATGTGACAATTGCTTTTCCTGTTGTAGGTTCTCCACATATCCTTAAAAAACCCAACTCCTTACCCAGTACCCCGTAGGGATAAGGGGTAAGCATAACAAAGTTATGCTTCCATCACTTTGTGATGGAAACATCAATTCCATCATTGTCCATCATGAAATTATGGACATGATGGAACCCAACGGTTGTAAGAAATTGGAATGGACTCAAGGCTAGGCGGCCTGGTTAGTTGGATACCGCAACTTGATGTAATGAGTTCCATTGTAAGAGACCCCCGTCCCTGGTCAACTACCAAAAAATGAAAAAATTGAAGGCGTCAACCTTACATTGTAGGTACACCTCAAAAATCTACTAGAAAAAGTTTTTTTGATACTAGAAAACTATCCATTTGATAATTTAGACTGAAATATAGTTATTTAAATGAATATAAATAAATTAAAAAATTTAAAAATTTAAAAAAAAGGAAAAGAAGAAGTGGTTTCGAGTTAGAAATGAGAGAGATAGAGATCATGTCGTGACGACCCTGGGCCATACCATTACTACATTCTTCATTATATTCCCTCGGCCACAAAACCCAACCTAGGGGTAATGTAGGACTCCAAAGTTTCTATTGTATCCTCTTTAACATAGTGCCCAATAGAAAACAAAAGGAAAATTTTATCTAAATACCCATAAGAGATTAACTATTTAACATTTTATATTTAACATTTTATACGTTTGCAACTATTCCAACCCAAGGTCGTGTGCTTTTTTTATAGGTATTTTGATGAGTAATTTGGTAAATTTTCCAAAGAAAACAACATCCTAAAACAGAACATAGATGGTCCAAAACTTGAATTGTGAAAATGAATTATGAAATAACTCTAAATACTTTTTTTTTTTGTAATCATCATGTGACAATTCTTAATTATATCCGACATTTCATATCTAAAAGGCCTCTGAAGAAGGTTTTAAGTTGAGGGAGCAAGTAGACAGTATACTCTAGCAAGAGCATATTGCACATGCAAATCTTCTGGTTAGTGTATCATTTCATAGCATCTTATCACATTAAGAACCCAAGAATTTTGTTGAAAATATTATAAAGGGAAGTATGTTGAGGAAGCATATACTTATCTAAAACAGTCCCATGCAACAGTCTTTAAATAAACAAAAACTATTGTGGAGGACTGCAGGCTGCTCCATGAGATCTGGTCAAATTAAAGTCCATAAGAATGGTAAAAAAAGGACCATCTGTAAAAGAAAGAGGAAACAGGGAAATTTCCAAATCTTGCCTTAAATTGGAACAAAACAAACCGAATTCGGTGTTGGATGCAATGCAATTAAGTATTTATAAACACACATATTGTGGACCAGGGCCAAACAGAATTTCAGCTTAATTGAGGGAGAAGTTCCCCGCAGGAAGCCAAAAATATTTATGATCAAAATCATAAGGAGTTGAAAGTTAAAAGGAAGCCTATATCAGTTTTCACTTTAAATAAAAGGTATAAAAAATTAAAAAGGCACAACTAATCAAATGCAATCTCCTTCGAAAATCCATTTGGAGATCGGTTTTGGGCATAAAATGTCAGAGGTCCATAATCTCGACTACCCTGCTGTGAAAAATGAAAGTCAGATTTTGAATTTAAATGCGTGTGATGTTTGATTTTGTTTTTGAATCATCAATCGTTGTTCATTTTAATTATTTGCAAATTAATAGAAGAACTCTATTGTTGAGATACAAAATCACAAATAAAAAGCATAATGCATCTAGAGTGACCTAAATCCTGTTCTAATACATATCCAAAAAAAAATTCCTGTTCTAAGATGATATTTGGAAGAAGACTGTACCTCATTTTAGCTTTTTCTATTTAAAAAAATTGTATATTATAAGACTAGTTACTTGTATCAATCATCCTTCGCCACCATACTTAAAATCACACAGTTAAACGTGTGTCACTTTTGCTATAAAAGTTTAAAATCTTTGACCCTAGGCGATGGCATGCACCAAGGTATAACAGTTTAAACTTTCTCTTAAGGAAAATTGTTTCGTGCGGGCTAGATCCCATTTCTATATATGCGGTCAAGAAGTATAAGGCATTCATTTTACAAATGGATGCAAATATGTGGTTCATCTAACAATAATTGAAACTAATGGTCCAATTTTTTTTAATATAATTATTATTTTTAAGTTTTAAAATTTATTTATTTTTTCATATTTATGATCTCCATGTTAAAGATTACGTATCTTTAAAAATTAAGTCTAAAAATCCATCTCAAAAATAGATTTATTAAAAGCCCGCATTTCTCCATAAGCGGGTTTGGCCTGCATGCTAACCACTTCCTTCTCATTATACTGTTAGTCAATAATACCTCCCAAACCGCCTGATTCTCCCTCCGCGGGCCAAAAATATTTTTTTTACCATGTGTGAAAGTTAAATTGTCCATCTGGTTCCAAATTCAAAAAGCCAAAAATGATTCTGACCTTCTTCAAAAAATAAATGACTTTTTTTTATAAATAAAAGAGAACGTATATAGCATGATACGCAGGATCATAATATATATTAATCACATCAGCAAAATAGATATATTGGGGATTTTTTATTTAGATTTCTGGGATCCAACTCAGAAGATAATTATTTTCAAATAAAAAATAATTTTTCAGGTTTTCAAATCTTAGATCTAGCCCTCTAACAATTGGACATTCCTTATTCAATCTTGGAACAGTGTTACTTGAAGCGCATGAAATATGCAATAACGTGCTATCTGAAAGAAAAAAGTTCTGTTGGAAGTTTGTTTGCTACGCTCAAGCTACATCCCCCAAATTTAAGAACCTAAAAATATTCCTAGCCTTAGATTTATTTCAGAAAATAAGTGAACAATATGCTCGTGCGGGAGCAGCATATCATTTTGCATACAATTTCTCAGACAGCGTGATATTCAATAAGGGTTCATAATTAGGTCCTCCTCATTGAGGAAGTTCATATCGAGAGCCGAGGCTCTAAACAATCAAATTAGAACCTATCTAACAAATTTTATGAGAAGAGGTTGCCCAAATATCTTTAAATTGGCCAGCTCAACATCAAGATGTATGGACTTTGAAAAAATAGATTTCAAGTTTTAAAAATAATGCATTTTGTAATACATTTTTGGACCGTTAATTTTTAAGATTTTTGAGTTTTCATAGATACCTACATTATTTTCTAAATATTAAATTTTATAATTAAAAATAAAAAATATATTTTAAAGCTATCATAAAGATTTTTAATATTAAAATTATATTTCTCGATAGTATTTGAAAGTGCATTTTACTTTGATTGTTTTAGAGCCTCAGCTCTATACAAAACCACACCCCTTCATCGAAAGGTTTGAAGTTTAAAGAGTCAAATACTTAAAAAACCAAGAAATAGGCCACGTCCAACACTCTCATCTGGCTTACTCGTAATTGCAGAGAGAGAAACAGTCATAGTTGTAGACAGAGAAACAGTCGTAGTTGGCGTCCATGCAACTCGCCGCCGCTCAGTAACATTTCACAATTTCCCTGAACCACGTCAAGACCCCGCCTCGCGCTCTCTATAAATACATCTCTCCAAATCATACAATGAGCAACAATAATCCTTCTCTTACTTTCTCTCTCTTAGAGGCTCCTTTTGACCTTTCTCTCTCTACAAATATCTAGCTACCCTCTTTGGACAGGCGGTATTGGGAAAGATGGGTTTTAATGGTGCTGCTACTCTTGCGCTACTCATACTGTTGGTGAGCAGTAACAGCTTCAACATGTGTTTTGGGCAGCTGAGCTCCAATTTCTATGACTCATCCTGTCCCAATGCTCTCTCCACTATCCGATCGAAAATCCGCTCGGCGATATCCGCTGAGAGGCGCATGGGTGCCTCCCTCATCCGCCTTCACTTCCACGACTGCTTTGTCAATGTAAGTGATCAATTTCATTTCTTCAGATGTGAGAGAGAGAGAGAGGGCAATTAATCAACTCCCATCTGTGACTCCATCTCTCTCTCTCTATAATTTTTACTGATGTTCTGCATGATGTGTATAAAACAGGGATGCGATGGTTCGTTGTTATTGCCTGAAGAGAAGACAGCACGTGGGAACAATAACTCCGCGAGAGGGTTCGAAGTGATCGACGAAGTTAAATCGGAGGTGGAAAGCATCTGCCCAGGCGTTGTTTCATGCGCTGATATCCTTGCCGTAGCAGCAAGAGACTCTTCAGAAGCCGTAAGTTCTATTCAGTTTAGTTTTGGAGGAAGAGATTCTTAAAATTCTTCCTTTTACCTCTCTTCCTCCTAACACCAACATCCTCAATCCCAAAATCAACTGACAAAAACCACAAAAATGATCCACAGATGGGAGGACCAACATGGACAGTGAAACTAGGCAGAAGGGATTCAGCCACTGCAAGCGAGACCGACGCCAACGCAAACCTCCCGAGCTTCACAGATAACCTCGACGAGCTTATCTCTCTCTTCTCCCGCAAGGGCCTCAATACTCAGGACCTCGTCGCCCTCTCCGGTTCTCACACCATAGGCCAAGCCCAGTGCTCCACTTTCAGAGACAGAATCCACAACGAGGCCAACATCGATTCCGGTTTTGCAAGCACCAGACAGAGAGGGTGCCCAACATCTGGTAGTGACACCAACTTGGCTCCTCTGGACTTAGTCACTCCAACTAGCTTTGATAACAACTACTTCAAGAACTTGCTTCAATTGAAGGGCTTGCTCCACTCTGATCAAGTCTTGTTCAATAATGGCTCTACTGATGGTTTGGTCAGAACTTATAGCGAGAGTAGGAGCACTTTCTATTCAGATTTTGCCTCAGCTATGGTGAAGATGGGAGACATTGGGCCTCTTACTGGTTCTTCAGGGCAGATAAGGACTAATTGTGGGGTACCTAACTGAAATGATTGATGCCAAAGTGCCCTAAACATTTAAATGGTGTTTGGCTTTTATGTTGATCTGAGTGCAAGTGTAGTATATGTCATTATCGATTGTTTTGATCCACGGTGTTATGAGGGGGGGGGGCATCAACCAAACCCCCTCGGTTTTGTTTTCTTTTCTAAGTTTTCCCTTGTCTGGAAGTACAAACACCAATCAGAGGCTATTGTTAAGTAAAGTGAAGTTTGTTACCGTACTTCAAATAGCAGACAACTAACTCTTTTTCTCTATACGTCTTTTTCCCCTCTTTTTTTCGAACCCATTTTCTCTATACGTCTTTTTCCTCTCTTTTTCTCGAACCCATTTCTTTCGAGTGTAACAATGATAGAAAAAACAAAAAAAACGAAAACAAAAAAACTAAAAACGTGGTATGTCAGTGGAGATTTGCACCCCTACCGTTTGATGAGAATGGAGCAAGAGATCTAAAGTGGTATGTCAGTGGGGATTTGCGCCTCTATCAAAGTCAGAGGGCTAGCACCCCTACTGGAGTCAGAGGGCTAAAGTGGTATGTCAGTGGGGATTTGGACCCCTACAGTTTGGTGAGAATGGAGTCCGAGGGTTAAAGTGGTATGTTAGCGGGGATTTGGGCCCTTACCGTAATGTAGTCAGAGGGCTAAAGTGGTAAAAGTCAATGGGGATTTGCGCTCCTACACTTTGGTGATAATAGCGTCAGATACCTCATCACGGGGCTCGACAATACTACTGCCAAGGCCTTATACCGATTTGGGCCCCTACCCTTTGGTGAGAATGGAGTCACACACTTAGCAATACTACCATCAAAACCCCATGCCATTCAATATCACCTTCCATTCCCGCTATAAACCTATCCCAAAAAAAAAAAAAAAAGTGTAACATTTGATTTAGTTAAAACTTCTGGTGATATGATCTTACTACATCTTGTACTAGAAATACGCACGTCGTCAAATTCAAAGGGAGTAAAAGGAGACGCCTTTCTAGAGACTCGCCTTAGTTTTAAATGGTCTGTATGAAACCGTAGCATACGTTTAATTATCACAAAACCCTAGGTTGGATTCCTATACTTAATTACCCCGAATTACCTGGAAAATCCTAGATTCATCCCCGACCCCTAGGTTTTTACTCTCTTCAATAGTTCAATAATCCCTAAATCCTCGATTCTGCACGATTCAACTTTGACATTTATTTGATTTTATTTTTTTGTACTTTGTGCTTTTATTTGATTTTAATCTTCTTATATTGGAATGGACTCAAGGCTAGGTGGTTTCTATTACATGTAAGGGACCCCTTCTACGTTGAACTACCAAAAAAAACATGGGTAAGGGTACCCCTTCCCTACTGAACTACCAAAAAAATAAAAAATCTTCTTATATATGTTTTTAATTTAAGAAAAAATTATAGAAAATATCAAGCTTACATTGTATTCACACCTAGAAAATCTATTAGAAAAGGTTGTTTTGATTCCAAAAAACCATCCATTTGATCCTTTAAACTAAAGTACGGACATTTTTTTTAAAAAAAAAAAGGGGTCAAATTTCAAGTTAGAAATAATGAATATTTTAAACTCATTATGTGGACCATCCATTTCTAACATTTTCAAATATTCATAGATCTACTTGTTTTGCAACATTTTTTAGGTTTTTATTTTATAATTAGGGGTAAAAGTAGATTTTTAGACAAATGCAAGGGTTTCATGTGCCCAAAATTCATCTTTCAGCATTATTTGGAGGTATACCTTACTTTGATTGTTTAATATTAACGCGTTACACAAACTGGCACAATCAAATACAAAAACATAATTTTATTTAGGTTTTAGGCGAGGCCAATGTAGATCTCAATACATTGAGGAGAGATCGCAAGATTTTCCCTTGTTAATTGTATCTGATTATGACCATAATTTCAAAAAACTGCCTTCTCTCATGGTCAATATATTCAATACAATATTTACATAGCACAATAAATTTGAGAAGGGAAGTCCCCAAATTTCTTTCCTAGAATTACGAATAAACACTTAAGAAAAAGTAAACAAGGCTATTACTTTGATATGATTATTAGCATGTGCAAAAACAGCCTTAAGTTTCTTTGACTCTTGATGTCTACGATGCCATGGATTTTGAAGTATGATAATGGATTTTCCAGTAAATAACACTTGCTAACTAAATTTTTCTTAACGTTTCCATCCAAGCTCGAAACAAAATGGTTCTCAGTTCGTTGAAAAGCTTATCAAAAGACTAAAAGTGCCAATATAATGTTTTTAGATGTAATTGAGTTGGAAGGCTAACAATGTAGAGGTCTATCAGTAAATGCATATAAAGAAAAAAACACGACAAATGTGTGATAAATGCATCCAAAACTGATGATCAGATATATGTTCTTATCAATTTGGTTGAACTCTGTGATCGAGTTTTAAACCACCACCCACTATACGAACTAGCGATTCTGATCGGCCAGATCAGCTATCTATATCAGCCAAACGAGTGAAATTTGGTTTGAGAAAAATGGAAGAATAGAGTTTGGGAGATTAGGGGATGGGGACCTTCATCGCAGACCCACCAAATTCGATCCAAATCGGCAATTCTACATCTGGATTATCGGGTTTTGAGACATTGTCTAATCTAAACCTAGTTATAGTCGTGCATGGGATTTTCTATACTTGTGGCAAAAAAGGGAAGATCTCCCACTTTCTACCATTTTGGATTGCAAAAGAACCACGATTTTAGGAATAAAACTTATATTCTGCAGTAACAAATGGCAATCACTCACTCATAAAATTTTGCCAACTTATTGGAAACATATACCAAAACAAATTACAAAAATGATATGTAACACACTTATAATCAATTGAAATAACAGCTTTAACACTTCTCCATGCTTTAGGGTTTTAGTCATCAATCAGTTTAGTTGGGCACTCGGCAATTAGCCCTAATTTGGCCAGAAGAACCAGTGAGAGGCTCAATGTCTCCCATCTTCACCATAGCCGAAGCAAAATCCGTAAAGAAAGTGCTCTGACTGTTGCTGTAAGTTGTGACCAAACCATCAGTGGATCCATTGCTAAATAAAACCTGGTCGCTGTGCAATAGGCCCTTAAGCTCCACCAAGTTCTTGAAGTAATTGTTATCAAAGCTTCTCGGTGTGACCAAATCAAGAGGGGCAAGTTCATCATCGTCGTCGTCAGTCGGGCAATCGCTTTGGCGTGTGCTCGAGAATCCGGAGTCGATGTTGGCCTCATTGTAGATTCTCTCCCTAAATGTGAAGCATTGGGCTTGGCCAATGGTGTGGGCACCAGAGAGAGCAACCATATCTTGTCTGTCAAGGCCTTTTCTAGAGAAGAGAGAGATGAGCTCTTCTAAGTTATCTCTAAATGTAGGGAGGTTATCATTGGCAGCACTTTCGCTTGCAGTGGCTGAATCCCTTCTCCCCAACTTCACTGTCCATGTTGGTCCACCCATCTACAAAAATATTTGATGTTTTTGTTAGTTTTATATTTCATAAAGTAAAGTTGTGGCACATGTGGTAAATTACTAAGAAAAAATGAAGAGAAGAAAGGAATAAGAAGCCTAACTTTTAGAAAAAGATAAAGAGAAGAAAAAAAACGAAGCGGAAAGAGTGGGGAGCTCTTCTTCTTCACTTCTCTTTTCTTTCTTTCTTTTTCTTATTATTATTATTTTTTTTTTTTAGATAACTCAATGGGGAAGATTCCCCTACCCATTTTTTTAGATAGAGTAAAGATTTAGTTTTTTTTTTTACCACCCAGCCCCTTTCCTAGAGTGGAGAGCTTTGGGATAATACAATGGATGTTTTGACTTGGATTTTGTCAACTAGCATGTTTTGAATCGGATTTGTCTCAATCATTGGCTCAATCTAACTCGGGACTCATCCTAGTCAGACCAGTGGAGAGATATCTCCTGAGTCGGAGCTCGATTCCAATTTTTAAAACACTGATTTCAGATAATGGGAAGAAAGAACCTAGGGACTTTGAAACATTAAAATTGAGCATATCATAATAAGAGTTCAGATTTTCAAATTTTCCTTTCTTTTAGTCTTAGATTTAGAGTTCAGACTAAAGTTTTTACAAAGTTGAAACTCACAGCTTCTGATGAGTCTCTTGCTGCAACGGCCAGGATGTCAGCGCACGATACAACGCCTGGGCATATGCTCTCCACCTCTGATTTCACCTCATCAATCACTTCGAATCCTCTCGCTGAGTTGTTGTTGGCACGTGAGTTCTTCTCACTTCTAAATGACGACGTGTCGTCCAATAACAACGAACCATCGCATCCCTATTATATATACATCACACACACTATCAGTGAATAATAACTATGATTTCTTTATACCAAAAATAAATTGTCATTGTTTGCATCTCATTCATAAACTACAAATTTCTCTTTTTAAATCAAACTAGACACCATTATTTTTTCTCTCAAAAATCAAGCGAGACCTCTTAACATTTTATTCTCTATAT